GGGGGGAGCCGACAAACCATCTGGACATAGAGACGATAGACTCGCTGGCGGAGGCGTTGAAAGAGTGGGACGGGGGGATGGTGCTGGTGAGTCATGACTTTAGGCTGATAAACCAGGTGGCGAACGAGATATGGGTGTGTGAGAACCAGACGATTACGAGATGGGAGGGTGATATCATGGACTTCAAGGAGCACCTCAAGCAGAAAGCCGGCTTATCCGAATGAATGAGAAGCGAGCACAGACTTCTCTGCTCTTCTTTTGGCTGAAAAAGGACCAAATCAAATCCCGAGCCCCTTCTGGGCTGTGATGCCTTATATCATCTATGAGGGAGGGAGGGAGGGATGTGGTATTTATTATCAGTTATAGCTCTCTGCCTCTGGTTGGTTGAGGTTGGTTCCCATGGGGGAGAGGGGGCCCTTTTGCGGAAGCCACGGATGATGAGGATATCTTTTACCCTTTTTTTTTGGGGGTTTTACGCATGCGAGCTCGAGAGTTTTTATTTGGTGTGCGTGTATGCGCGTGTTTTTTTTTTTTTTTTGTAATTTTAATTTGGCCTTTCCCCTGAGAGCTCTCTCCTTCGGCCTGAGTCGGAGATGCAGAGGCACTTGAGGCAGAGTTATTTTGGTATTTGTAGGGATACGTTATATAAGCCAAGTTGACGGCGACGACGACGACGATTATATCGTAATAATATATTGGGGAAAACAATTTCATAGCCTAATTAATTTCAGAGTAGGCTCTTTTAGGTCTTTTGTTGGGACAGATTTCACTTTCTTTCAGGCGACGCCTTCCGTTGCGATCGACAGAATTCTACTTTTGTTATCGGAGTTAGAAAAGAGGGTGTGAGTTGGTTGGCTAGGAAATTTCTGGTGCTGGTGGTACATCATTATTCTAAGTGATTGGTTGTGTTGTGTGTGTGTGTTCCATTTATCTATTTACATGACTAACTTTGAAGGAACGACACCCGTGTCTGTTTTTTTTTTTGGGGGAAGGCTACACGTTTATTTCCAGGGAGAGTGTACAACTACAGGCAGAGGAGGGAGTAGAAGACGAGGGGGATGAAGGCGTTGTCCAGCTGGGCAGTGTAAGCCTCCAGCATACCGCTACCTGTAACCGCCACCAGCAGTGACACCCATTTCTCCTCCTGTTTACCACGTCACACGTGTCCCAAAATATCACAGACCTATACACACACACGCACATATATATATAGATAGAGACAGAGAGTAACTAGTACCTGGGTGGTGAGGATATAGAAACCGGTGGAAGCAAGAACAGGAACCAAAACAAAACACACTGCCATCACCGATGTTATCCCTGCTGCTGTCCCTTCCACTGTTTTCTCTGTCCCCAATTCACCAAAACCACAACCAACCACCCATCAAATCCATATACACATACACATACACATATGACACCCTCTTGCTTCACAACTCTCTTAAAAGTGAAGGCGTGTGTGTCACTTACTTCCTGTCTTGCTCCATCTCAGCACCCCGTATTTGTGACCCACCACCGATGCCTGCACACCCATCACCGTATGGTATCTCTATCGATTTGGGGTTTCGAACATAACATAATTCATGAACGTCAAAAACTGTCTCTCTTACCATTGTATCCCCAATCCCCAGGCTCAGGATTCCAGCAAATGGGGACAACGGTCGATCATTGAACCCAGACGACATCCATATCGGAAGTGCACATCCCATCAACAGCGAAAAGTGGCTTTTATATATACACACACAGAGAGACACAGGCCAACTCCATTAATCAACACACTGCAACAACGCCCTTGAAAATATCAAATGATCGAATTACCGTACCTTACGATCAGGATATCAGAGTCACGATGGTCCGTGAAAGCATTCATGAACTGGTGTAAAGGTTTTCCCAGCGGCCAAATCCTCCACACCTGTTTTTTTTTAAAAAATAAAAGAAATTGAATATCCTATGTGTAATAAACAGCAGAAAGTGGATAAACCCCACGAACTTACTCGGATTATCTCCAACGCCAAGAATACCGCCAACGCTACACCAAAGGCTAGATCCAGAAATTTAGGCTGAAAAAAAGCACAGTTTAAGACAAAATTTTGAAGTGTTTTTATAAACCACTACTATCCAATGTAATGTAAATGCTCTCGATTGACTAGTAATAATAATCACCATTCACCTGTAATACAAGAGCTGGCAAGAACATCAATACAGCCATCAGATGGTAGTACTTCCGAAGCAAGATTCTCTCAATCTTGCTATTCCTTGAGATGTTATAGAACCTCCAGACAGACGCGATAATCAATAGAACCCAGTAGATACACAGTGTTAGCCTCTTCAACGGTTCAGAGAAGACAAATGTGAACACCCTGTCATCCAAAAGTATATTAACATTAGATGCAGGTCCAAGGTTCATGAAAAAAAATACACACAACCAAGCAAAATAATGTGTGTGCTTTTCATATGTTGTCAGAGATCAAGTACCATAAGAAGGGATGCTGGTGAAAATCATGTACAAACTGCATCCATGAAGGAGCAACCACGGCCATGATAAATCCAAGGGAGACAATGAATATAGCAGATTTCTCAATCTCACTCGGATTTCTTTGTTGAGAATCTTTCTTTCTCAACGAACTTTTATATGTGTGCATAATCAATTTAAAGAACATCGGAAAAAGTAGAAGTCCCAGCAGCAAACCCTGAAAAATTTGGAAGCCACTTATTTCTACAGGAGAAACAAGTACATGGAAACATGGAGATTAGAAGTCAATGTGTTTCATTGTGACCACTGTTACTATACCTGAACAATTATGCCGATTTCTGTTCTCTTCATCCCGTAGCTTATGGAAACCAGATCCACAGGTACCAATTTCTCGAAAATCTGTAACAGTTGTCTTATATCATTAACAACGATGTACTTCTCAGTCAGTGCACTGACCACAGTAACTAACCACACACAAGCAAGCACAACGCTATCCTGAGAAGAAAGAACTAAACCTTTGCAATTGTGCATGCCAAAAGGTCGCCAAAATAGAGAACAAGGCCACTGGTCATCAGAAGCGCTTCACCTAAAAAGATGGCAATAATTGACAATGATATGGAAATATGTCAGATTCGGAATAGGAACTTCTAATCAAACCTTTACATTCAAAGTTGCACAAAGAACACTCCTCGACATGGATGATATTAAGAAGTTACAACCAGAACAACAACTTAAATTGGAAGAATGCACATTTACCCATTGAAGCACAAGATGGGAAGGTGCGAAGTAAATGTTGAATTAACTTCACGGCTGCCAGGCCATGGAATAACATCCACAACAACTTTAACGCCGTGTTCAAACCTGTAAATACAAAGATTAACAGACTTCACCAGCAAAAGCGAGTGGAAAAATAAACTCAATAGCAGCAGCTAGGATGGCAAAAATTTGGAAGTTACCAGTGTGTGATATCATGGAAAGTGAAATGAAACATGATGCTCCGTACAAAACCGTGGCACTTAAGCTAACCCTTGTAACCCAAACACATGATGAAGAAGGCTGGCTTCTGGATGATTTCGACATAATTACTGACAGAAATATAAGAATGGCACAACAGCTAGCCGATGTCGCCCAATATTGCATGGTGACATGTTCAAACTCTATACAGCCAAACGTTAAAAAACAGTCAGAACAATTGAGGAAATATGTTCACTTCCAACATCAATAAACCTTTGAAAGTTTTGATTTCTGGAAACTACCTTCCTGTTCAGCTTCATGCATCGACAAAGCCCTTGTAAGCTGTATCAACTTAGATATCATAACAGCAGGAAGTGTTACTGCACCAAGCAATATCCCCGATGTTGCACCTCGCCTGGAGTATGCAGATCAAACACATAAGCAAATTTCAAATTTTTTTCACTCTCTTACAGGGCAAACTAGTTTTCTTTTGTAGCATGGACATGGTAATCATAACTGCTAAGCTTTTCTATTACTGAGCTATTTAAGACAATGGATTCGTCCGAATTCTACTTCCAAATGCGAAATTAAGCATTCAATTCTAACAGATTCAAGACATGAAATTCTCATTTCTGAGCCCAAGTATGATATCAAATCGGAGCTCAAGATCAATCTCGGAGATGAAGACCTCTGAATTTTATGTACTGAACTACGATCCTCAATCTCAGGATTTCATCTTCGGGATCAATTGAGAAGTTCCAGAGTCATCAACACGATGGAATACGAGAACGAGAAAACCTAAAAGGACAAGAGAGACTGGAAGAGAGGTCACCTGGAGGCGAAACGAGAGAGAAGAAACGGCAACGTCTCGGCTCGGATCTCGAGGAGGAAGGCGGAGAGGGAGAGGAGGAGGAGGGAGACGCCATGGGAGAGGAGGGAGAGAGGGAGAGAGAAGAGGACGCGAGCCAAAACGAGCCCCACCACTGCTCTCTCTCCCGTGAGCAACGATGCCGTCCGGTTAACCGGCGGCTCCGTCTCCGCCGAGGATGAATCGCCGGCCATCTTGACTCCGTCGTCGCCTTTGAGTAGAAAACGCGGCGGTGGATTTGAGTTTGTTGGGCCTTACGCCAAACCATACCAGGGGGCAGTCGGGTCCCACATCTCACGGGATTTGGCTCGCTCCTCTTCTACGCGTATGCGTATATACGTATATGTTTCATGCTTTATTATTATATTTATACATTTGCAAAGTAAATGACATTTGTAAAAGGGTTTTTCTATACGAGTAAAAAAAACACGTGCATATTTATCGTATATGAATCAGATTAGCGATAATATGATAACTTATCGTTTCCAGATCAATTTCTAAGATATTTTTTTTATGTATTTGATATCGAAATATCTAATATGATGCCTTTATATTTGTTATAGAAATTTGAAAGTTTCCATTATTTCCGAAATTTTTTACTCATGGTTTTATATAGTTTTGTAATTTTTAAAATATTAAATATAATGCTTTTTTTATATTAATCTCATATCATACGTTGTAAATGGGCATTATATCAAAAATACCATCCCTTACTATTTTTATTTTAAAAAATATCAGTGATCATGTGACCAAAAATTTAATCTAGGTCATATTGATCATAACATTGAATTTATAAATTTTATATCAAAAAATTAGTGAGATATATAAGATATGAGTATAATAAATGGATGTAATCATTATAAATTTAACGTAATCATTATAAATTTAACGATATGACCAAAATTTAACGTTATGATCAAAATGATCAAGATTAAATTTCTGATCACAGAGAAAACGTATACCTTGAAATCAAAATAATAAAATAAAGATATTTTAATCGTATACCTTGAAATCAAAATAGTAAAATAAAAATATTTTTTTATAATGAACCTTATAAATGTTCCATGTCTCATACTAAAGCGGTTTAATCACAAGGGCCGTTACACAATTCAGAACAGGTCAGAAACCAAAACGCAAAGTTTTAAGGAAAAAGAAAACCCACCTCTCACATTTCTTCGCAAGGTCAAACTGTACACGACAGCTGTTAGTTTAACAAGTTGAAGCATTAAAAAAACAAAACCAAAAAAAAAAACGACAATAACGACGAAGATGGAGAGAAGGCAAACAAAACAAAACAAAAGAAAAAAGAAACAACACTAGGGCAATATGCCAAGTAACTTGTGACCCAAGGCAACACACTTTGTCAAGGGGCACCGACTCTCTGTTTTCCGAGCGCCGGTATACTCAGTGACCGTTTCCTCATTCTCTCTTTCCCCGACACTCTGTTTCCGTACTCTCCCGTGAATAGGGAACCGCACGACTGTAGATTCTCTGGCAATTGTTCGTTCATCGTCCGTAGAAACAGGTCCAGGTTCTGATCGTACCTCTCGTTCTTTCCCGGCTTTGTCCCCTCGCGATTCTCCGACACCATCGTGATCGTGTCTCTCGACTCTTCCTCGTTTTCTGTCCAGTAACCCTTGTCTTGCATCGCCAGGTCATCGTACTCTTCGTCTGATTTTGTTGATTCCTCGTCCACCGATCCCACCTGCCCCCCAAAAAAGAGATCCAGAGTCTCGGTTGGATTTAAAAAAAAAAAACAAATTCTTACAATGCCGGTTCATGGATTACTACTCTTTGAAGCTTTTCATGGTTTTACCTCCTCATGGACTTTGTGATCGTCGTCACTGAAATCTTCGTCGGTATCTTGCTCGGGAGGATCATCGACTTCTTCATCGCTCCCATGAACAGACTGTTCTTCCTTAGGCTGAAGCAAAACCCAAAACATGATGTATCGTCAAGAGATGAATCAAAGGATGCAGAAAAAGAGAAGTCCTCAATATCATGCAAATTCCAAATATACATGTGTGATACGTAGTGGTAGCACGTGCAGTTAATAACTGAATCACTTAACCGATCTAAAATGAATAACACATAAATAAACCCGACCTAAATCCGATATAAAAACCAAATGGATATGATTTCTCTAAAACCTAAAACACTGAACCCAAAGTGAACATAAAAATAATAGGAAAAAAAAACATTTTCTTAAAAATGAGTATTTTTATCGATTAAAACCGAACCCGGCTAGAAACCGAACCCAAACGAAATTCAATATAAAAAAAACCAGATTGTTATAGGTTTTTAAAAACCGGCACAACCGAATTGAACCTGAATCGAAACACGAACTAACCACCCCAATGTTACCTCTTTAGCAGGTCCATCTGACATTCGGGGTGAACTGCAGCAAGAAGAGTAGTATCGGCTGCCAGTTTCGGTCATGTCAGCTTTCGACTCATCTATACTCCCCGCATGGCTCGTAGCCCCGTCATTAGGCCACGCGCTGATACCAAAGAGACCAAACTGAAGATTTACGGGTTCCGCTTTACCAATCTGTATAGCCTCGGAAATCGGATGATACATTCCGTTCCCCATCTCGTTACCGAAGATGGGTTTCCCATTCTCATCGATTGAACCGACGGGCCATGTTTTTGCTACAGTCCCATCGGTGTTCAGAAGCGCCATTAAATGCCTAGACGAACCTTTTCTTTGGATCAGCTGAAACATTCCCTTGGAACTCAGTGAATTGGCTGCACACTGGTTCCTGTACTCCTCGTCAATGACAGCCACAGTGTTTGTGGTCGGATCATAGAGCTGCTCTCCTGCTTCGCGCCTTCGGAGGCAACTGAACACCGTCGCATGGATTGCGGCCACGCTCTTATCGACGTTGGTGTTATTTATCTTCGGAACCAGATGCTTGTCAGCTCTCTTGCACAGATAGTCCTGTATTGTTCTGATGTTACGTATATATTTTACGTATTTGTTCTTCGCCGGGTCCAGAGTCATGTACTTTGCCCTTACTGCAAATCTTTCCAAGTGCTTCTCCTCGTTGGTGATGTATATCATGAAAGGTGTGATTGAAGGGTGCTTTTTCATCAGACCCATCTGCAGGAGAGGGAAATTAGATTAGATCGAGAAGACCCGACCTAAAACGGAAATGTGGTAAAGATGGAAACGGGAACTTACCACAAAGTTAAGGCTCAGGTGGACTCCTTCAACAATTACAGACTCTTTCCTCTTTTCCCATGTTGTAATTAGTCGGTCGAGACTGTCGATCACCATCTCACTTTGTGCCTTGAATCCTTCTATAGCCATTTGCTTAGGGCTTAACAATTCCATGGCGGTTGATTTCGATCCAGCATCACCAATCTGTTGAGAAATAGGTTTAACACCTCGGGAGTCGTTTGTTTGTTCGCCTTTCGGGACTGATCTCGCAACCCCAGCCAATTTTTTTGCTCTCCTTTTGGCTTTAGCCTCGGCAACCGCCACCGGGTCAAGGTACTCTCCAGCATGGTACGTTGATGCCCACAGCAAAGGATTCTCCTTCTCATCGACGAAACTCCTCATCATGTGCCGGATAGAGTCCGTTGATACAACTGTTGTAATTCCCAATCTGCCACCCTGTTATGACAGAATGCATTCTGCATCAGATTAGTGAATGCATGAGGAAAAAAAGAGTATTAAAACGGTTCCTCACCCTCACCATAAGAATCGGATATTCTTGTGGCTATCTTACGCATAAAAAGTAAGTGAGACTGAAACATTACCAGCAAAGAAGAAAGCGTAGATTTGCCGCAGCCACTAGTGCCACATAGCAGTACAGTTACTGATTCTTTCCTTTCTCGGATTCTGCAGGATACGAAAAGGGTTATATTATACACGGCGTTAAGTGAAAGAAGATAAATTGCCATTAGTGGAGGAGATATGTTTCAGCTGGAACATAATGGTCCAGTATTAAAAAGGCAACTCAAGATGCATCACTTAGCCATATAGATGAGCTTATCAGATCAAGTTAGAGCTACCCATGGCACAACATACACATATAGAAATAATATAGATAAAGAATTCAGGGAAAAGAAGGAATCTGAAAACGACCGTGGCATTTTATTGATCACGAAAAGAGGAAAAGGAAAACAGTATCTGGTTGAAATTTAGGGGAAACGAAGGGGAAAAACAGGTAACTGTCCGAAACAGTAAGAGAAATCTGAGCACGTTATCACATCTGTTTGACTATCATAGAATTCCATCTGATTACTATTTATATCACATGTATGCCCAAACTCTCCATGTAAGGAGAAAGAATAAACTAGAAAGGCATATAAATCTTTTCCACACAATTAAAAGAAAGAAAATGCGTGGACAGCTATAAAGGAGAAGTAACACATGCAAATTCTATATGTAGATGCTTTGCAGCCACTACCTATCAAGATATATTCCACAACAAAAGGAATTTACCTGCATGCCAGAATCAAGTCTGCCCTCTGGTCGTGACCCACGTACTTATATTCAGCCAAAGCATCACAAACAACATCTAGGAAAATCTCTCGCGAAACAGTAACAGTTTTGCGTCTTTTATACAGCTCAAACGGTTTACTTTTCATCTTATCATCGCCATCAGAAGGCAAGGGGTTAACCTTGTCAACTTTTACAAGACCAGCACACTCAGATGCACCATTGTCCTTCTCAATGTCGGGTTCCTTCCCATTCAATGGTAAGGAGGCACATGATCCCTCACCTCTTATTAACTCAAAAACCCTTCGGCTGATCTGCCCACCGCCAAATTAACAAGGCATGAAAAGGAATCAGTTACATATACCAAATAATTTCAAAAACTAAATACCAACATATTACTTGCCTCTAAACCTAAACACAAAAGGAAAGGATTACAAGAGGGTTTTTAGATAGAAATCACTCTTAAATCACACACGCAGTACGGAATTCACTAAAGCAATCAACAGACTGACCAGAAAATTAAAACCACCAACATCATTGACCTAGAAGGCCAAAAACATTGTCAGGAGTTAAGAAGGCAACTATTAGAACCACTATAAATCCCGATATCTTGTCTACTCCAACATGGTAACCGGTCCTTAAAGTACTGCAAAAGCTCGTGAAAGGCTTTGCACACATGCAAAAACGACCAAAGAAAGTTTCATGGTCTCGATTTCTCGAAAAAAATAAGCAACTACAAAACAACATTCTCAACCCTTTTAAGTCAAGACTACTGAGCCATCTCCAGGATAGTAACCTCAATAATACATCAACATCAACATCGGCTTAGTCCCAAGTTTATTTGGGGCTGGCAACCTCAATAATATCCAACAAAATCTAAAGTAAAGATAGAAAAGGACATGTTTTCCATGTATGAACAATAAAATCCAAGCTTCAGACAATGATGCATTGCTCATTCACATCCATCAATACCTTGAAAATGACCAGGGAGTTAATAAACATGTTGGACATGACAGAAGTGCTAAACTTAGACATTTGGCAGAACATGATAAATCCTGTCTAGATCCATAGACATCAGTGTGTTTTTTTTTTATGTAATAGACATCAGTGTGTTTCACCTTCTTGCAGCAATCCAACACTTAATCCTCTCACAAAACACTAGACAATCGCAATGAATTCTACGATTTTCCCACCAAATTAAAAAGAAGAAAGAAAAATATCAACCAAATTCCGAAGAAAACAAAAATCAAACCACCAGACGACAAAAGAAAAAAAGGTGAGAATCAAATGCCCATGAAAGCGATGTGAAACAAATGAAACATCATTACTAAAGAAATAAAAAAGAAAAAACCATCGACGCTATCACCTTGAAGGCGTGACGCGCTTTGCATCCCATAAGCTGAAGGGTACTCTGAAGAACGGGACGCGTATACCGAAACGATTCCGTCTCGTTCCCGTCAGATTCCGCCGCCGTAGCTGCGTCGTCCAGCACCACTATGTACATCACCTTCATCGACGTCTCCGCCATCTCTGCCGGAAAAAAGAAGACAAGAACAGGAGCGAATCTCGATCAGAAAACCCAAAATATGCAAGAGTTTCCCGGTAAAATCGAACGTGCATGAGAAAAATCGGGAATGCAGGGAGAAAAAACAAGAATAACAACGATCGTACGTACCTATGGGAGAAGATTCCTCCTGGGGATGTTACACAGATTGGAGAGAGGTGAGAGCCAGTGAAAATTAGGGTTTACGAACGCGATTGTGATGGTTTTCGTCAGGAGAAGAAGAAGAAGAAGAAGAGAGAAGATCTTGTCGCCATTTGTTCACCTTGGTTCCACGCATCGCTTGAGTAGAGCCTCCACGAGTCCTTTAAGACACCTTCCTCCCTCTCGCCTTCTCCTCTCTTTTCTTTTTCTTTTTTTTTTGGCCCTTTTTGCAGAGATTGTTTTTTTTGTTCTTTCCCTCTCTTTCTTCCTTTTAGAACTCTCAGACAGCATCTTTGTTTTCTTTACAAAAACACCCTTACATTTTTTTTTTATCACTTTCACCCTTCCATAATGGTATTTTTCACCAATTTAAACTTATATCAATCGAATTTACAAATATATCAAGTAACATATTTTTCAAGGTTCTTATGATTTTACCAGAGGCAAAAATAAATTAATTACGGATTTTGATTTGGTTTTTATTCGGATTGGATTAGAATTCAATTTTTATTGAATAATAAATACATTTTTTATTTTAAAATATTTATATGTATTAAAATGATATAAAATTCGATTTATTTTTGTTTTTAACTGAACGGAAACGGTGACATTGGAATCAATGGTATGGGGTGGAGAATACGAAAAAAAAGACAGAAATACGGGTGCTGATTGGGAAATAACGGAGTGTGGGGTTCGGTTAGGGTTAAAAACGTCATTTTCATAACGTAGTTCGCCGACCCATTTGATCCGGTCTTTGTCAGCGTTTCCAGTTTACACACTGTATTTATTTAGAAATTGTAGGACCATATGCAGTTATCTTATATATATATTTATATATATATATATATATATATATATAAATGTTTTCCTCTGCTGTTATTATGTAACTATATGATTTAATTAATTGGATGTCCGAATATTAACATTTTCAAATGTATCGATATATTTGTGTATATTGTGTCGTGTGATGTGATGTATATGAAGTCATTTAAGTTTACATGAAAATATCATCTTCAACATAGTTTTCATAACAAAGGACGACCAACTAATTTCCATATGGGAGGAAAAGAATGACTAACCAATTTATTTACTTTGAAAAAAAGAAAATAAAAAAATATACAATACTTTCAATAAAGATTCAGTCATATAACAATAACTTTTAAAAAATATTTGTTATTTATATAAAATATTTTATAAAATACTCAAAAATATTTATATTAAAATCAACCATTCCTTAGATTTTTTTTCGCAAATTCACGTTTTTTTATGAATTTAAAATAAAAGCGAATGAATATTCAGTCACATGATTCACCAGATTCTTCTCAATACGAGGACCGGAAAGACAAAGCTACCCTCGTTTTGGGGCGTGAATTACGGCTTCAAAATGCTTTAGTTTGACCGAAATCAAGGGGCGTTTTAGGGAAACTGGTCAAATGCTTCATGGGTTTTATCGGCTAGGATCGTGTGGGCCCGGGAACGAGGATCAAGGAGTGGTAAAAACGTAATTTCCTGTAAAACTAAGGCTAAGGGTTTATATCTTTTTTTTTATGGGATAAAATTCTGAAAAGGTCAAAGGAAATGGCCCAATGGGTCAGAGAACGAACGTTACATTCATAAAGCCGCTTTTGGACCTAGTTAAACCTTTTTCTTTTCTTTCTTTTTTTTTCGTTTTTTGGAATTTTTTAATATACTTTTGTATTAATTAATAAAAATTTTACCAATAAAATCTAAATACAACAAAAAACGGACACAAAAGTTAAAATAAATATAAATTTTAAAAAACAGAAAATAAAAAATAATCAAAACTAAAACACAAATGAAACTCAAAATATACACAAGTTATCAAGGATAACATCATACAAAAAAAAATGTGAAAGAAAACTGATTAGTCTATTAATTTTTTTTCATTAATTTGAAGATTCAGACTTCAACTAAATAAACAATTTATTGATCGGTCATAAATTTTAAAACTACGTGTAGCTAACATATATGATACATATACCACAACCAATATTCTAGTATCCAAATTTTTTGTCAATATAGGTATTAATTAATTTTAAAATTTACATACACACAAATCCAAAGGAACTTCATATTGATTTTGGCACTATAGACGTCCAATAAGGAAAAGCCACTTCACAATTTTTATAATGTATTAAAAAGATGAGAGTTATATGATTGAGCTATTCATTAATCTTCCGGTGGTTGTTAGGACCCACCACACCACTAACCTTTTGCACGTTCATACTTCAGATATTTTTCTTTTTTTATTAAAAATCACTTGGAAATAATTAAAAACACTTCGAGATACGGATCAAATAAATTTTTAAAAAATATTTTTTTTTCAGTGAAAGATTTTTGCTTTTTAACGTTGGTTGGGCAGACTTAAAAACAAGGCTTTTAACATTATATATATATAGATCGAGAAGACCCGACCTAAAACGGAAATGTGGTAAAGATGGAAACGGGAACTTACCACAAAGTTAAGGCTCAGGTGGACTCCTTCAACAATTACAGACTCTTTCCTCTTTTCCCATGTTGTAATTAGTCGGTCGAGACTGTCGATCACCATCTCACTTTGTGCCTTGAATCCTTCTATAGCCATTTGCTTAGGGCTTAACAATTCCATGGCGGTTGATTTCGATCCAGCATCACCAATCTGTTGAGAAATAGGTTTAACACCTCGGGAGTCGTTTGTTTGTTCGCCTTTCGGGACTGATCTCGCAACCCCAGCCAATTTTTTTGCTCTCCTTTTGGCTTTAGCCTCGGCAACCGCCACCGGTATATATATATATATATATTGTTTATATTTTACCTAATGTGTGCCACTTGTAATTAATGAAAGCCCTATTATTTCTTCAAAGAAATGGGCTGCTTCTTCTGCATATTGACCATTTTTTTAAAAACAATTGTGTTATTATATTATCTTTTATATTCCTTCGTCTTATATTAAATATTTTTCCAAAGTGGCAACTGCCAAAGAGGCCATCACATCTTTAACAGAAAAGAGCCAAAACTCTGGATACGACACATACAATACAACCACTTCGTATTAAAAACGTGCGCAGATAAAGATCTCATATACATACATATATACCAAGTATATATTTGTTTAGAAGTTATAAATTCTCATTATCTAGCATTATTTTGCGGATTTAATAGATTATTATTGATATTAAAGAGTTAAAATTCATATATCTTCCCAAAGTTCACAAACAAACTTTGCTATGGACTATGGGGTTTTTTTGCTGATCTTTGCTGGGCTAACCCGCTGAGGGATTTAACTCAATGTCATCACTGGATTCATGACCCTAATCGGGACAGGACTCATGACCGAACCTGCATCGTCAAACTCATCCTCCAGCTTGCAGTGGCAGAGATTTGGAGGGAGAGAAACAACCGTATCTTTCGTTTTCGATCGAGACCTCTGGAGATTTTCCGACACAAGATTGATCGTGGTATGCGAAATTTACTCATTGGCCTACGTATGCATGGTAGCTCACAGACTGATCTTATAATGCAACATTGGTATTTTTTGACTAACACTTTCAGAACTCAATGAACACCCATTGATTGTATCAAGCATGTTATGCTTGTTTTTTACCACTTGCATGGGAATCCTTTTGTAATCAGTCAGTTGTAACACCGTTTTTTTTTAAAGATAATATAATCACATTAAACCAAAAAAAAAATAAACTTCCAAAAAATATTAATGACAGATTGTTATTGACGTTAAAGCGTGAAAAAATAGATCGTATATTATAATATTAATCAATAAAAAAATTGAAATGTTATCTAGTTCCAAAAGCTAATTGATTACACAATTAAAAATATTATGACATTTGATATATAATCCAATTTATATTTCTTGATATGAAGAAGTAGATTTTGAGTGAAATGTTGTGAAAATAGGTTTATTGGATATGGAGGTGCAAAAATTATGGTTATACATGATTTTAAAGCAAAAGAAAATATATCGTAGGTGCAATATACATAAATGTAGAATTTTTATAATTAAATTGAGTTTTAAAATCGAGGACGATAATATCTAAAAGTTCTAATATTCTATATCTCCGTTCTATGGATTATTTTAAAATAAATAACAGCCAGATTCATTTAACCAAACTTTAATTTCATTATTTGTTTTCCACTCATTAATTTAATTATATATACTTTATCATACACTATACTTATCTAAAAAAAATCAAAGTAGACAACCGCACGATACATAAAGCAAATCTCGTAATGGAAATATAAATATTCAACCGTACAATATGTTTTAATTTAGATTTCATGGAAACTAAGAATACAACAACAACGCGTGACATGGTACGATATCGAATTATTTGCAAATGATAGAATCTTTTCAGGGAAAAGATAAAAAGCCGCACATATATAAATTATAAATAGACAGCAAGCATTTACCCAACAAAAAATAATAAAGGCATTTTTGATATATTATTATATCGTACATTTATCAGAAACCCACATATAACAAACGAAAAAAAATGTTAATTTATAGTCAACTACCTATATATATATATATATTATATTAATCTTTCGAGCAAATTATATCATTCCAGATTAAGAATTCAAAGTCTGAGATATTTAAGAGAAAATTAGATACAACATGTGGATATTAACGCATAAAATATTCACGAGTTAAATAGGAATACATGAAGTGAATTGAACCACAAACAATTTTGGCGACTGGTTAATTGATTCCTGTTATCCAACAGAATTTGATCCAGACACCATATATTATAATGTTTATAGAACTTTGACGTATTGGGTTATTCTTGAAATTTATTTATACATTGTAATGCAAAGATCCCACCAATATATTTTTGTTTTGAAATAACCTTGTTATTGTTTATACTAGGTGAGACCCGCGCGTTGCGCGGGTTATTCTATTTTTTTTAAAAAAATTATAGTATTTATTAATATAAATTTAGTATAAATGATATAGATTATTTATTTGATTTAGAAAAAGTATATTTATAATATTAAAATATTAAAAAATCATGTATTTAAAGAAATAAAGAAGTAAGGAGACATGAATATTATTGCATAGGCTATTTATAAAATTGCTCATAATAATTTGTTCTAAACATGCTTATTGTTGATCTATTTATTTCAATCTCTCTACAAAAATTATTTATAAGGTAATACTAAAAGTTATATTATTAAATATTATAGTTATCATTTGTTTTAAGAATAG